ATCCGATTTGTTGACATGTAGACAGAGTCTCCAGGTCTCTCAGCAATGACCAAGTGTTGTGTGACAACACTTTTCCTGGGGAGGCGCTACACACATGTAGTGGACTCACCCCAGACAGGAAACCCACGACAGGGAGCCCACAACAGACCGAGATATGGATATCACCGACATCTGGCTGTGCTGAGTTTTATGGTCTGGTGTCTTCTTTGCAGTTTGACTTGTCTAAGAGCAACTCTCAGCAGCTTTATGGCTTACTTTGGGAGGGAGGGGCCTAGTGAATCTGGTCAGTTTCAGGGACTTCCTGAAGCTGTTTTGAGTCACTACCTCCATACTTACAGAGCTTCCCTGCAGTAGGGGATGTTTTAATTGCAGAGGCAACTGTTAGATAAGGACAAGGCACTGGATGAAGCCATGAGACAGATATAAAGGGCTTCTGTATCACTCTTCTCCTCCTTTTCCTAGTTCTTCCTGATGGATGCTCTCCCTGCCCACCTCCCCCTCCCCTTCCCCTTCCCCTTCCCCCTCCCCCTCCCCCTACCACCGCCCTGCCCCAGGAGCAGCTACTTGCTCAGACAGGAAAGCTATGCACTTCAGAGGACTGTAGGATGGCACCTCCTGGATTTGGCACCTAACAGGAGTCCAGTCTTTAGTGCCATCTCTGTGTTTGGACCCCTCTGTCCTCATCAAGGTGAGACCCCGGCGTTAGTCCCTGCTAAGATTAGTGGGAAATGATGGCCTTCAAACATTAGGTTTTCAAACTGATGCTTGTCTAGTGTTTCTAGCACCGTTGTTTTTTAATGTCAGCATTTCTTATATTAGAGTATGCTGACAAGCCACTTGCAGAATTCAGTAATTTAGCAAAATAAAAAGGTAACTTCTGGTCTAGTACGGGGCTTGGGAAGAGTGGGCCTCTGGTCCCTTGTGCTTTTGAGTTCCTTCCAGCTGGCAACTAAAAGAGCACTTGAAGTTTATCGTTGGGTACAAAGGAAGAAAGAATAGAAACTGTCATCAGCAGAAGGACCTCTGATCAGAGGTGACAGGCATCACTGCTGCCACAGTTCATCTGTGAGGGCAGGAAGGAGCAGGTGCTATGATGCTAACCAGCTGCCAGTCGGCCTGGGCTGCTCCAGGTGTGGGAACAGCACCGGATTCCATCGGAGGCAACACAACTCTGTCTAGAAGCCCCAACCCCAACAGTAGGAATCCCTGGCCTCTCGGAGAAGCAGGGAGCTGTGGTTTTGATATGAAGTGTCCCCGACAAAGGCTCATATGTTGAGGACAGGTGGTGCTATCTGGGGAGGTTGATGGAGCTTTAGGGGATGAGATGTAGGCGGAGGAAGCAGGGCAGTTTATGAGGATCCTCAGGGAGATTGTCTACCCATCCCCCACTGCTTTTCTGCTCACCACAATGTGAACAGCCTGTTCCACCCTGTGCCCCTGCCATGAAATTCATCCCAGTTGTACAGGGCCAAAGGGCTAAGCAACCATGAACTACAACCTCTGGAAACCCAAGCCCTTCTTCCTTGAATCATTTCTTTCTGGAGTTTTGTTCTGGGCTGGAGGCCTTTCTGGAACTTCTGTAACTGTGTGAAGTTAGAGGCCTTCCTCTCCCACCACGAGGAGTTGTTCTCAGGGTGAGGCCATTTGGAGAGGAAGTGGGCTTATCCTTTTCACTAACCAGAGGCCCAGGGGATTTTAATCCAAGGAAGCAGATCCTCGGGTATGCTCCAAATTTTGGGGAGTGCATAAAATATTTTTTTTGTCTGTGTACAATTTCCTTGGGAAGGGGGTCCACAATTTAGCACACTTAAAGAATCCAGAAAACATTCTTTCTAAAAACTCACAATGACATTTGCAGTAGTTCGGACTTTTCCAGAGAAGCAGAGCTGGTAGGGTGTGTGCAGAGGAAGGCAGGTTGGAGGAGGAACTGGCTCACATGGTTAGGGAGACTGGCAAGTCCATGGTTTTCAGGGCATGCCAGCAGGCTAAAGACTCAGGAAGAGTCAATGCCGTGTTGTTCAAATCCAGAGGCCTTCCAAACTGGGAAACTCCCTCCACTCCAGAGAAGATGGGTCTGAGTTCCTTCCAAGCCTTGGGCACCGTTATTAGGGAGGATCAGACATGTGCTTAATTCTAGTCCACCAATTTAAATGTTAGTCCCTTCCAGACACCTTCACAGAGACATCAAGAGTAATAGTTGACTGTGCGTTTGCACAGTTCAGCTAAGTTGGTGTAAAAACATGTCTTAGGACCACTCAAGCAAAAAGGTAGAGGTTAGAAACTACCACTCTAAGAAAATATCACTACATGTGTGTCCCCTGTCCATCTTCAGGGTTTTCAGGGGCTCTGAGCCAGGTCCTCTTCTAGCTTGCAGGCCCTTGTGACATGCAGATTAAATTAAATCACTTTCTTCCTGCAATTTCCAAGCGTTCCACGCTGAAAGAATTGGAGCCGGACTCCTCAACTCAGCTGTAGTGAATGTTAATGTTAAAGCATAATAAGTCTCTGGGAGACTTTAGAAATTTACAAATAGTTTGGTAATGCTGCGTACTCGAAACTCTTTACCCGCCTTGAACAAACAGTGTAATTGGCGAAGTTCTATTGTGATCATATCACAGCCTGTGTTCATCTCTGAGAAATTCCCCCGCAGATGAACTCTGCTGACCTCACAGCTTACACCTCTTGCTTTGCAACTCTCTGCAGGGAGGAAACTGCTATAGGCCCCTGCCTCATTAGCTGAAGGTGTGAGCACACTACTCTGCTGTCATCCAGAGTCATGTGTAGTTCAGCCAGGAGTCAGCACAGCACACATGCTCTCCTATCGGGACTGTCCCCTAACTTGGGATTGTCCCCTAACTCGGGTTCCTCTTGCTTTCACTGCAAGCATTGCACAAGCAAAAGTCAGAAGGAGGCTGGGGAAAACAGCTTCCTCCTTTGTGGCTGTTTCGAAGCCTGTCTCTGTTTGTCTTTGACCCCTGCTGTGCCCTAGCTCTTTCCTGGTTTTGTCTCCATCATCCTTTACTTCACATATGCGAATGCGAATGCTGATGGTTTGGTGCTGAAACTCTTCCCTCCCTTCCTTCGGACAAGCTGATTTTCTTCTGCAGGAAAAGGCTGCCCATCATTCCGCAGTGTCCCCAGTCCATTTCCCATGCTGCACTGCTGCTTCCCTGCCTCAGAAAGAGAGGCCATTGGGTTGTGTCATTTGGAAAGATCTCAGTGGGCCAGCAATGTTGTGTTGGAATAAGATGAGACTACTCCCAGGTCGTGCCCACTGTTTCCGGTAGTTTCCTTGAAACGGTAGTGAAATAGGCAAACAGTAGTTGTTCCTCGGGTGCTGGCCTCACACCTGAGCCCTGGGAGAAGTGTGATACTGCTGGTTATAGTAACTGCTTTCTTGTCTGGCCACAAACTTCCCTAGACTTCATGCGAAGGAAGTTAACAGGTTATATTGCGCTATAAAGGAAAATTATGTTATGAACTTTGCGGGTAAATGGATGGAACAAAAAAAGATTGTCTTGAATGAGGTAACCCAGACCCAGAAAGACAGCAGTGCATGCCCTTTCTCATCTGAGGCTTCCAGTTCCAAATCTTCGGATGTGAGCACGTGTCCTGGAGTCACTGAAAAACCCGGAGAGTAACAAGGGACCCTGGCCGGGGCAGTGGGACTGGGGAGCCACAGGGAGGAGACCAGCAGGGTACAGTGACCTGATGAGGGATATGGGACACAAAGGTGGGCTCTAATTAGGGGCGGGAGTGGGATAAATACAGAAGGAAGGAAGAGACTGTCTGAAAATGTCATAAGGAAGTGTGCTATTAACTATCTTTTAAAAGCCTGTAGTACATGCAATTCAATGTATAAATATACATATATAGTTTAAGTGAACTTTTGTCATCTGGGCTGACAATGCTGCCTCTAAGAACCATAGACCATCTAACAAAAACCCCAACACCAGGCGTGAGAAGCCTTCTTTTGTGGTGTTAGTTGGGGCTATTCAAGAGATTTCCCCCCAAATTACAAGCTATTGCTGTTGCCCTTGATTGAACCCAGAGATGGGAGGTAAGTCCCTGTTGGTAACGACACCATGTCCTTTCAGACATGGAACTGACTTAAAGACTCTTCCCTGAGGACTAGCTTTTATGATACCAGAAAATGCCATGCAAGAGTAGCAACCAACAGGCCTACCCAGCTATGATGCCTCTGAGTCCTATCAATGGCAGAATAACCCAAGAGGGAGGTAGTGGCATGCATACCTTGGGGGTAACCAACAGCTCTTGAATTATATAGACTTAAGGCCCGCTCAATGAGAGGGAAACCATGTCTAGTACTGGAGCTAGTGAAGTCATGGATCTTGGAGGAGAACCTACAATGACCACTTTACTAAACCAGCATAATCGCTGATGTGGGATTCCCCTCTATGCTCTATGTTTAATTAACATTGGTTAATAAAGAAGCTGCTTCGGACTATGACAGGGCAGAATATAGCCAGGTTGGAAGAGATATATAGAGTAGGCAGAGTCAAGGAGACACCATGTAGCTGCTGAAGGAGACAGACGCCGGAACCTGTGGTGATACACAGAAATGGGTTAATTTAAGATATAAGAGCTAGTTAATAAGAATCCTGAGCTAATAGGCAAAGCAATGTCTTAATTAATATAGTTTCTGTGTGATTATTCAGGTCTGGGTGACCGGGAAACCAAAGCACAGTCTGCATTTATACCTATAAGCAATCTAAACATTTGTCTTTATACCTACATATAAGTATCATCCTCATCTCTCATCAAGAAAACTTCTTTTCACAACAAAATGAGACCATTATAGAAAGCCACAAACAACTAAAATGCAGAGTAGTGGAGCCCAGTATCAATTGACACATCTATGAAACACTCCCATACCTAAGGCTCAGGGAACATTGTGGAAGAGGGGACAGAAGGGTTGAAAGGGTCAGAAGATAAAGAGAGACTGCTGTGAATTTGTCTCCTAGTAATGTCAGAAGCTAGTCCAAGGTGATTCCCTCTCCAAGGGGCTGACCAGTGCCCCTTTCAGGAACGTAGCAACTTGGAAGAAAATCTGGGGAACAAGGGTTGCTTGTTGCCTTTGCCTGCCTTTGGTTGCCTACATGTAAAATAATAATAATAATAATGTCAGAAGCTACACCCTTCCGTTCTTATCAGTGTGACTGCTTAAACACGAGCTGACCAAGGACAACAACAATAGACAGACTAACATGGAAGGTGAAAGCCCATGGGGCTTCAACCCTACACAAGAACGACAGACAACTAAGGAATGCTGAGAATGGGAGACACAGTCCTCTCCAGGGAAGAGCACTCCAACTGTTTATCCAGTACCAGATAGGCAGTCCTGCAAACATACATGCACGTAACACTATACAGAGTGAGCAGGTTGTAGTTCTCAATTCAGGAATGTGTGTGTCTGTACATATACATATATGTATATAAAAATTAGTGAAAAAGAAGCCATGAACTGAAAAGAAAGCAAAGAGGGTTATGGAAAGGTTTGGAGGGATGAAAAGGAAGAAAGAAATAATATAATTAAATTATAATTTCAAAAAGTAAATGATTAAAAATGAATAAAGCTAATTTAAGAAAAGAAATTAGTAGATGAAGTCAAAGCCCGTTAAAACACAGACAGATTGCTTCAATCTAAAGTTAATCTTTTACTATCCACAGTCTGTCTTTCCAGCATGTCTGATTTTCAAGGCACCCGGGAACTTTCTCTGTGGAGGGAGGGAAGAGGGCAGGGAAAGGGTTGGATTGAGCAGCACGAGTCCCAAGCTCACTGTGCATCAGTTTCCCAGAGGATCCTGCGTGGAGAAATCTTTATCATGTGACTGTGAGCAGAGGTCTGAGAACTGGCATTTCTATGAGCTGCCTGGGTGCTGGGAATCGAACCTCTGCAGGCACAGCGAAGGTTCTAAACCACGGAGACATTCCTTTAGCTGGGTCTGAATTTTTAGGAAAGCTGTTTCTTTTCTACTACTAGCTTTTATTGATTTTTAAATTTGATTTGTTTTGGTTGTTTTTACTATTTTGCTGAAGGTCTAATGCAGGGCTCCAGCATGCTGGGTAAGTTCTGTAGCTGTTCCCGACTTCGGTTGTTGCTGTTGCTGTTGCTGTTTTCGGCAAGCAGCAAACTTCTTTTGAATCCTGGATATAATCTTTAAATGCCTTTCCCAGAAAAGCATGTGTTTCTTGAGACAGAATTTCCCAAAAGTTACTTTGGTCTGCATTCTGACTTTGCCAGTTAGGAGGTGAGAACCCCCAGACAGTTGTTGAACCTCTCGGATCTTTATAGTCTACACCTTAAAAACCTACATCCTGGGGCTGGGGAGATAGTCCAGTCATTACAATGCTTGCTGCTTTAGTCTGTGAGCCTGAGTTTGAGCCACAGCACACACTTAAAAGCAAGGCATAGCAATACACATTTGCATCTTTGGCACTTGAGAGGAAGAGACTGGAGAATCCCTAGAGATCATTGGGTAGCCAGCCTCGCTGAGTCAATGAGTTCAAGGTTCATTGAGAGACATTAGCAGATAATAAGACTCTATTGCTAGAGACACATTTTGGTTCCTGGACATAAAGAACCCAATCTCAACTGCCCTGAAAACATTTTATCTGCTGGCTACCTTTCATGGCGCCAGAAGGTGTTATGCAGTCTGCTGGGGGTGGGAGAGCCATGAATATCTTACCCAGAGCTGGACCCTACATACCACAATACTAACCTACTGGGTGAGATCTGTTGGGGCAACAGTGACATTAGTATCATAGGAGTAACCAACCACTTTCTGCTTGACTATGAGGCCTGCTCTACAGGATGAAATGCGTGCCTTGAACTTAGAACAAAGTCTGTGGCTGAATGGGCATAGTTCCAAGGGTGGGGGAACCTACTGTTGTTGCTCTGTTAAATGTTCCTGTCACTAAGCTATCTTTTAAGTGTTTGTATGTATATACATAAATTAGTGCTGCTCTCGATGTATGTCAGAGAGGCCTCTTTTTGTAGTAGCGCAATTAATTCAGAGACCTGCAATCGGTCAAAGTGCTAAGAATAAATGACGATGAGTCCTCGTCCCTAAATAGGATGTTTACGTCAACCTTCCTTCCTCCAGAGGCTCAGGGACATCAAAGAAGAGGGGACAGAAAGAACACACGAGCTGTCAAGTGAGGAGGCGTGCTCTGAAGTGCTCTCTTCTGGAGGGGTATGGCTGTGGCACTCTTGAGCTCTCTCCAGCTGTGGCTATCTGCACACGCACGCACAATCAAGCAGTCAAAATCCAACCACGGGTTGGGGAGGAGCTCGTGGGGCTCCTCTCCGAGCTGAGGAGCTGTTGGCGGTTGGCTGCCACTGTGGGAGGGAGAGTCATTTTTCTTTTGGACTGTGGCCGTTAGTAGATTGCCCATGCTCCCGTGGATGGCCCCGCACCCAAGTGCCAATGAATTCTGCAAACCGAACACGGCTTACAAAAAAAAAAAAAAAAAAAAAAGAGGACATGAAGTTGGCAGGGAAACATAGATTTGGAGGTGGGTTAAGGGAAGGTGGAGAAGGAATTGGGGGTGAATATGATCAAACACACTGTATACACACAGAATTCTTATCAAATGATTACAAAATGTAAGAGTAAAATTAGTAATCAATATTAAGGTGGAAAGAAATCAAGGACATTACTCGATGTCAACTTCTGCCTTCTACATATGTCCACACACCACACAAAGGATACGTGTGCCACACACATATGCACAAATGTATGTGTGGAGGGAGACCTAGAAATAAAAAGAAGGTGCTGAGAACGGATCTCAGTTGGTAGAGTGTTTGCTTATCCTGTACCAATCCCTAGATTCCATCTGCAGTATTGCATACATCAGGTAGGGCAGTGCATACCTGAAATCTCAGTGCTTGAGGGGCAGTGGCAGGAGGAGCAGCACTTCAAGGTCATCCTCTGCTACACAGCAGCTATCTTGAAACTACAAACTAATAAGGACTGGGAAGATGGCTCAGTAGGTAAAGTCACTTGCTCATGTGCCATGGAGCCTTGGTTTGATCCCCATATTCACAAGACAGAAGGAGAGAACTGACCCTCAAAAGCTGCCCTGTGACTCCACATGGATACTGGCACTGTGGCACACAAATCCCCCCCCCCAAACACATGAAAAATAAAATAAAAAATAATAAAGTTATGGGAAAGAGTTGGTTCAGTGGATAGGAGTCTCCCTGTAAAAGCTAGAGAACTTGAATTCGGATTCCCAATACCCACATAAAAAGTGCCATGGCCACAATGATTGCAACTCCAGTCTTGGGGAACAGAGACAGGACAGCCCCTGAGACTTGCTAATCAAGCAGCCCAAATGGTAAACTTCAGGTTCAGTCAGATTCCCTGGTTCAAAAAATAAGGCCATGGCTGGGCATGGTGGTACCATGTGCTCTGGAGGCAGAGGCAGGTGGCTCTCTATGAGTTCAAAGTCAGCCTGGCCTATGTAGTGAGTTCTAGGCTAGCCAGGGCTATGTAGAGAGACCTTATCTAGAAAATAAACAAGGAAAAAAAATAACAAAATAAGTTTGAGAAAGAAGATGCCATATATATATATGCTTCTTGCCTCTGCACGTGTTCCCATAGGTGTGCGGTAGCACACTCATACACAATTTAATACTAATGAGAAGAAAGAAAATTAAAATAGAAAAGAATGAACCCTCTAGCTCACATGGTTGATGGACGCTTTAAATTGGATAATGTATTTAAATCATTATATTATCTGAGATAACATACATAAAGCCACGTGCAACCATTGCTTCATAAAACAGGCTCATAATATAGGTATGAATAATTTGCATTGGTATGGATTTTAAGGTCAATTTTGTTATATGTATATGTGTTTCTAATCTTGATTAAGGTATTGTGATTGTGTAGTTCATTTTAAGAGTATAATGTATAATTAGGAAATATAGGTTGTTAATGGATAATCATCAATAATAGTCAAGCTTGTAGTCATGTTAGTTAGATTCTCTAGATGTGCATAGATATATTTCAGACAGGCATTCTTCATATCTTTCAAAGACTACAGAACATGGCATTTAATGGTTTAATAACTTAGGGCTTTTTATGACTATGAGACACATCTGCTCCTGGCAGCACCAGCTACTTCAAGAGGAAGATGGGCATCGAAGAGGATCCTTATGGAGTTGGTTAGCCATTTGGGCAAGAAACTGCTCTTGCCTGGACTGATGCATAAACTGGACACAGAACCCACAGAAAGAGGACTGCTGAACTTGCCTAAAGGTGGGGATAGTCTTTCAGGGTTCCTGATTCATGAAAGAGTCTGCGAGACTTCTGCAGGACACAGAAGAAAGTGACTGAACTGTCTTTGGAATTTCCTGCTTCGTGGAGGTGTCTGCTGGATACTATGGGCCTGTAGGCCGAAGATGGATGCCCCAATGGTACAGAGGAACTTTGGGTGACTGTCCAGGCAGCGAGATGTCTCTGTCATTTCTAGAGTTTGGATTTCTTATTTGCTTAGGTAATAATATATCCTTCTGGAGTCTTTGATGGAGTTGAAGAATAGATGGTTATAGTTTTCCTTAGTTATGATAAAAGATAAAGTAGATATAAATATTGTAACTGTAATTCTTACTTGATAACTGTTTTGTTATATGTAATTTTACTATGATAAAGTTAAAGCCTTTCTTTTTTGTTTAAACAGAAAAAGGGGAAATGATGGAGGTGGGTCTTGTATCTTATCTGTTGGTTTCATTGGTTAACTAATAAAGAAACTGCTTGGCCCTCTGATAGGGTAGAATTTAGATAGGCGGAGTAGACAGAAAAGAATGCTGGGAGAAAGAAGCAGATTCAGGAGTCACCATGATTCTCCCATCCGACACAGCCGCAGGTTAAGATCTTCCCTGATAAGCCACCTCATGGGCTACACAGATTATTAGAAATGGGTTAGATCAATATGTAAGAGCTAGCCAATAAGGCTAGAACTAATGGGCCAGGCAGTGTTTAAAAGAATACAGTTTCCTTGTAATTATTTCGGGTATAAAGCTAGCCATGTGGGCGGCCGGGTGCCAGGAACGCAGCCCTGCTGCTCATATTACAACAGGCTCAAAATTAAAA